ATAACACATAAAACCTAAAGGAACACTAACATACAGTGTTCAAAGACACAGTTCTAAGCTATGGTGGCCAGATGGTGAGATGCTGGGTGCAGTTCCGGGGAAGAAGCTGGTGACACCACTCTTCCTGCTCGGGTGCTTGCTGTTTCTTTAACAGCTCCCTGCAGAACAAATGCTGAATGCTAGTTTCGTTTTTTGCCTTTTCTTGTAAAAGCAAAAATCCTCTTTGGATTTCTTCAGGTTAGTGAAAACAGGTACTTAAAATAAGTCTTTCATAAGAGTGAAGAAATAAGTCTTTCGTAAGAGTGAAGTGGCGTAAAGCAAACTTTTGGAAAGCGGAGGGTAACTGTATATACCTACGAATGAAACTGCCAGGTCATATAGTTTAGCAAAGCTGCCCTGGTGGCACAGTGGTTAAAGCACCAGGCTGGTAACCAAAAGGCTGGCAGTTTAAAACCAACAGCTGCTCCACAGAGAAAGATAGGGCACTCTACTTCTGTAAAGATTTACAGTCTTGGAAACTCTATTGGACAATTCTCCTCTGTCCCATAGGGTTGCTATCAGTTGGAATCAACTTGATGGCAGTGGGTTTGGTTTTTGGAGTATAGTTTAGTATTCTGAGGAACTGCTGAACATTTTTGCAAAGTGGCTACACCATTTCATATCCCCACAGCAATAGATGAGGTTTCCAATCTCTCCTCATCCCGAGTATTTGTTATTCTCTGTCTTTTCAGTTATAGTCATCCTAGTAGGTCTGCTTCCATAAAAATGAAAGACAAGAAAACCCCATGGAGCAGTTCTATAGACTCTGTCCCACGTGGGGTCTCCATGAGTCAGAATTGACTTGACAACAATAGGTAGCAGTGTGAAGTGGTATCTCATTGTGGTTAATTTATTTTTTAGACTTTATCTTGGTTCAAGAATGATTTCATATTACTTATAAAAATACATACAAGTACTGAATACACTGCTATAAGATCCAGGCAAAGAGATGAAGCCGGTGTGTGTGTGGGGGGAATGACCCACTGCCACTGAGTCAATTCTGACTCATAGCAACCCCCACTGGATTTCCAAGGCTGTAAATCTTTATGGAAGTAGACTGCTTCATCTTCCTCCTGCAGAGGAGCTGGTAGGTTTGAACCACTGAACTAGTTAGCAGCCAAATGTCTGGCCCACTGTGCCACCAGAGCTCCTAGCCAAAGGAAAGTAGTAAAATGTCTACTTAAAATGACTGCTGGGATACGATGCAGAGATGCTAAAGTTGGTCAGCAATTAAAGACATTTGGTTTAGTTCCTAGGGTCATAATGTTTTTGAGATAAAATATTTCAGTAACTCAAGAGAAATTCAGTTTTTCATGGGTCTGAGAAGATGAAAAGGGGGCCACGATCCAAACTGCAATAGTTAAAATGGCATATATTTCAAATTCCTAGACCTCAAGTTAAAGTATAGCATTCAGACCAATACTTTCAAACATCTTTCATGGCAATCTGTGATAAGTAATATTTAACATAGTGGCCCAGTACACATGTGTGTGTGTGTGTGTGTGTGTATAGCTAAAACAAATATTTTCAGAAATACTTAAGCTTACTACCAGAAGTACATTTACAATATATATTCTACTTCATTTTAAAAAAGGAACAAAACAAAGTGAACAAAAGAACATATATATTGGAACTGAACCACTAATTCGTGTGTTATGACTTACAGTTTGAAAAAGACTGATTTAGCCTACAAACCAGCGAGGGAGTAAACAAACCCACAATATGAGTTAACTCAAGGCCATCATCACATTTCTAAACATTTGATAAGAATAATTTCAGTGTTGTAGTTGTCCAACACGGTATTTTGTGGACACTAAGAATGATTCAGAACTTAGATTCTGAAAATAAAATAGAACTATTTGAGCAAACTTCAAATACAAAAAAAGAAGTCTGACATTTACCTAGTAGCTAAGAGGACAGTATTTCAATGGTCTTTCCATAGTTCAATGACATTATTTTTGGTGGGGCAGACATTACAAATGGGATCATTTTGTGTAGTGAGAAACTGATCATACCAGCCTCTTCCAAAAACAAGTTATATAATTAAAGTATATTATTTAATAAAAAGGAAATATACCTAGAACATGAAAACAGTGACATCTACAACACAGAGCATATTTCCTAATCTATTTTTAGACTGCTGCATTCTTTTTACAACAGCAAAAACAAACCAAGATTATTGAAAATTAAAAGTCTACACCGAATAATGTTCTTGTTGTTGTTGTTATGTGCTGTCGAGTCGGACCCAACTCATAGTGACCCCTCCTTGGCTTTCCAAGGCAGTATCACTACGGAAGAAGATTGCCCCATCTTCCTTCTGAGGATGTTCTCTTTTTAATATTGTACTTTGAAGTATTAGTGACATGTTAGTATCTGACTCCACAGCAGTGTGATGCATTGCTGTTTTTGGTTTTGTTACATAATAATGAATTCTGATTAGATGAATGCAATTTCTAAATCATATGAAGATCAGTTTAATGTAAATTTGAAGAATTATCATTTTTCTGTTCCTTCTGAATTGTATAATGGAGCATGGTCCTCTTTATAACCTACATATATACTGGGGGTGGATTAACAATACAAGAATAAAAATAGAACCTTCAATTATATATGGCCAAAATAACCATGGTAGCTAACAAGTTAATCTCCTTAATGAGATTAAATTATGATAGACAGAGATACATAGTCCCATTTAATTCACAAGACTTGAAAGCTCTCAGATGGTTCAATTTTTTAGGAACTGAAATAATTTTTAAAAATTTTAAATCAATAATTAAAATGAGAAACTGGAACAGATACCATTCTGGCTTTTATGATACAAACTCTTAGAAGAATTTACTGGGAAAAGCTGACATAAAACAAAACACTGAACAAACCCTGAGTAGAGGTTATTCACACTGGGCAATATCCATGCTTGGGAAAAGGTCAAGATTGGCATGAAGGGGCTCTGGGCCTAGGCAAACATGCTGAAACCAGGAAGCCAGGTCAGGGTAGGGAAATCAGAGATGTGGAACTTTCAAATTCGAGCAGGTGTCCTAATTCCCACACCAGCACTCTAAGGCATGCCAGTAAAAGCAACACACATTTTTTATTTTTTTTTTTGGCAGTATTTAGTCTGTACTACAATTCAGTCTAAGACCCACAGAGCAGTACTGCATTTTATGCCTTCTCACAGTTCTTATTCTACCCAGTCTGGACCTTCTGCTCTAAAGTTACACTTTCTTCAGCTAAACTCAAACTCCATGAGGTATGATGATCTGTTCAGGTAAATCACTACCATATAGATGCTTAAAAATATGACATAGGGCCCTAGATATAAGCATTATAAACTAAACAAGATAACAATCTCTAACTAGTAAATTTCAGAAGGGAGGCAGTTGAGTTGTAAGATCTAAGGTGATACCAGTCAATTCTCAGTATTCTCTAGGCCAAGAAAAAAATCTATGGAAGTAAAATATAAGACAACAGCATTGCACCAAGAATCAGCCACAACCTTATTTCAACTCATTTACAAGCAACTTTGAATGTTTCATTTTGGAGAAGTCAATATTAATTTAAAAATCACAGTTTTAAAGGGAAAACAAGCTGTTATAAACCAGGCTATAACTATCAACTGTAATGCTATATTGTTGTTATTCTCACTTTATGAAGCTAAGAAAATAAAGATTCTATTGGTTAATAAAGTGATATATCTCAACATCTGTCAAGATAAATAGCTATTGATAAGTGCATTGGATAATTATGATCAGTAAATTAGAGAGTTAACTTACCACTGACTTTATTTTCTAAAACAGTGGTCTATGTAAGGTGTATAGACAGCAAGTCAAAATTTCAATATTGAGCTTTGCTCTGATAATTGAACTTACAGTACACTTTAGAGGAAATCAAGAATTCATATAAACACAATTCTCATCCACACAGAATTTTTCCTTAAAGCACTGTATCCCTTCCTAAAAAAACAGATAATTTTTAGTAAACACTAATAAAATTAACAGGAGCTCTGGTGGTGTAGTGGTTAAGGTATTTGGCTGCTAACCAAAAGGTTGGTGGTTTGAACCACCAGCTGCTCCATGGAAGAAAGATGGGGCAGTCTGCTTCCGTAAAGATTTACAGCCTTGGAAACCCAATGGAGAGCCACTATGAGTTGGAATCGACTCAATGGCAGTGACTGAATGAGTAAAACTAACAACAAAACAACAAGTTGCAATTGAGTTGCTTTGGACTCACGGCCATGCCATGCGTGTCAGAGTAGAACTGTGCTCCACAGAGTTTTCAGTGGTTAAAATTTCAGTGATTTTTCCAACATAGATTGCCAGGCCTTTCTTCCTAGTCCCTTAGTCTGGAAACTCTGCTGAAACCTGTTCAACATCACAGCAACACATGGTCCTCCACCGACAGATGGTGGTGGTAGTGCATGAGGTGCCCTGGAAACTGAACCTGGGCCAACCATAAACAAGCCATGCCAAATGATAGAGAAGTATTTTGCACATGGTTTTTATCACTAAAAATTATTCTTTCTCAATAATCTGTTCCTGATGGTATTTTAAAATGCTGTCTCCGTGTATTTTTCTATACAGAACCTATTTCCCTAACATAACTTATACTTTGTAATATATCACTAGTGAACTCTTCCAACACATAAAGAAGTTTAAAAGTTTTAATTTTTTTTTTTTTTTACAGTGTTGGGTATAACCTTTTTCCACACACCATAGATAAATAAAATTTAAAAACTTAATGAACAAAACCAAAAATCTCCTGAATATATTTGGTATCAAAAGACCAAAAGTTAAATACATTTGGAGTTATTCTGGCAATTTAAAGTAAGCAAAATGAAATATCTTTCTCATAATGGTTATTGGATTAATTATATCCTATAGGATTACTTTTCCTGGAAAATTAGCCTTAAATTTTTAAACACAAACTATAAATAACAGCTTAGTTAAATAAAAACTTTCACATACACAAGGGTTGTTTCCATTCTCGAAACTTGCTCAAGGTCTTCGTCAGGGTCCCTGAATCCAGTAAAGGAGTAGTAAGACTTGTGCCATTTGATGGGCCTGTCAGGCATCCTTTTAGCTTCTTTGAGAGGCTGGGAATGCACATGGGTATTCAAGCTTTGGATGTGTTCAGTAGATAAACTGCAGGAGTTGAGAATATCTAATACTGTGCTTAGCAGATCTCTGGTGTGCAAAGTAAATTTGACTGCTCGAAATCCTAGAAAATATAATTTCCCCAAACAATTAATACATGACAATTTGCTTCACCTTAAAAACAATCTTTCATTCAACATTTGTAACATCAAGGTCTTCTAAAACATCCCATCACTGGTTAAGATTCATCTTGTCAACTCATCAATAAATGGAAAGCTACTTCCCTCCCCTAAAACTGTACCACACTATCTGTACTTCACGATTCCTCTACCCTTCAATTCCCTTTTCCAGTTTGGCCCAGTGACCAAATCCATCTGCCCCAAGAAGGAGATTCAGAGTATTTTCAATGCTGCCCACAAATGTGGTCTATAGCTAAGAGATGGAAATGCTCCCCTACCAAAGTTAGTTTCTAGCACTAACGCTCAAGAGAGAAAAAGGCAGACAGACATCAATCAGCATTATCACAGGGATTCAGATGAGGACAGGGGTGAGCTGATCTAGTTTCAGCAGTCATAAAAGCTTGTCTCAATTTTTTTCATGATTATAAGAGATTACTGTCCTCATACTAACCACCCATCCAATGAGGTAGGGACCCAATATTTCCAGGAGTGATTTAAAATTTCCTCATTGCTTAAAAGGCACTGTTTTACAATCTAAGTTTAATACTGAGTAGTCATTTGGCAGTGGCTGGTAATTAAACTTGCTAAATCATCAACAGCAAATCCATCCACTGCTTTTTTCCCCTCTTCCTGGGTATCAAGTATGGCTCCTGCTGCTTTACAATTTGTCAATCATACTCCCACCAACTCTGCCACTACTATCTCTCTCTTCAAATGTGAAGAAACAGAGGCTCAAGGAGGTTAAGAAAAGGGGAGCCAGGGCTTAAATGCATGTGAACTGACACTAACCCAAATACTTTTCCTATTAAACCACACTGCCTCTCTTTTTACCCCTTCAATTGGTTTTAAAAATTATACAAGTATCACGTAAGTACAAACTAGTTGTAATTTAAACACAAACTACAAATAACAGCTTAGTTAAATAAAAACTTTCACATACACAAGGGTTGTTTCCATTCTTGAAACTCTAGTAAACAGTCTGTTTACTAGATATAAACTCCATTACAGGTACATGGAGCTCTGGTGGCACAGTGCCTGCAAAAACAGCAAGGAGGCCACATCTCCTGCCCTCCTCTAACCACATAAGAGGAAGACAGAATCACTATTAGTAACCCAAGGCCTATTCCTGCAAGGCCAGACATGCTGCCTCCCTCCAGCCCTTTCACCAACCCCCTTCCTCCCAAAGCACCCACCACCTCTCTCCTGGGTCTGATAATTCACTGCAGTGGCCACACAGAACTCACAGATTACAGGGTTTATTAGGGAAGCACCAGGCTACAATTCAAGTTCGGGAAAAATACTCAGTCTCTCCCCCAGCCCACAGTCTCTCTCCTAACAGTGAGTGTCCCTCAGTATCTCACTCAGCAATGCGTGTCTCTTTCAGGAGCGCGTGTCTCTTTCAGCAGCACGTCTTCCTCAACCAGCAGTCAGAGAGAGCCTTCTTCTGCCGCTAGAAGGCCTCCTTTTGAGCCTGGCAGAGTGACCAAACTAACCAATCATAACATCAGAATCCTAAGCACCTGAGAGAGAGCAGGAACCTCCCAGAACATTGTTTTGTGTTGCACCCAACAGAAATACCCCAGGTGGGTAACTTTCACAATCAGGAGCTCCTCTGTTGCTCACAGCAAATTCCACCATAGAGTTTACAAAGACTTATGGCTAGAAAAGTCACACTAAGTAATTTACTACACTGCAGTGCCTAAGGCATTTGACTGTTAACCAGAAGGCTGGTGGTTCAAACCCACCAGCCACTCCTCAGAAGGAAGATGGGGCAATCTACTTCCATAGTGATCCCACCTTAGAAACCCAAGAAGGGTCGCTATGAGTCAGGTCCAACTTGACAGCAGTGAGTTAGTAACAGGTACATATTCTTCTAGACCCACACTGCTAATATGGTAGCTGATAGCCACATATGGCTAATAAAAACTAAAACTAAATACAAAACTCAGTTCCTCAGTCACACTAGCCACATTCTGAATGCACAACAGCCACGTGTGGCAGTGGCTGCTGTATTAGATAGTGGAGATAAAGAACACTGCCATCATCACAAAAAAATTATTTTGGACAGCACTGCTCTAGATCTTTCCTATGTGGTTATATGTATGTATATTATATATGATATGCATGTTCTAAACAGTTTAATATGCTTAATGGCTATTTGTATGCGTTTTTTCCTGAACTGCCTATTCATTGCTTCTGCCCATTTTTTAATGGAAACATTTGTGCTCTTTTTGATTTCTAAGAACTCTTTATATAGCAACGTTATCTTTTGGTGACATACGCTGTATATTTTCTCCAGTTTTTAACTTACTTTTCTCTATAACCTATTTTTGCTTAATGAATTGTTGGTTCAAAGTTAACATTAACTGAAAGATTTTTGTCTTTACTCAGCTGAACTGATTACAGCATTCGTTTTAGCATTAGCTCACAGGAACTGAGTGGATCTTCAACTTGTTTTAAAGTTTATTCTAATAATGATGTGTATTTCCTTATGGACCAGCCAAAGGATGTATAGCTAAAGAAATAATTTAGGCTTTTACAGATTTCAGTGCATTAATAATGCAAAAAGGTTCATGAAACTTTAGTAATGAAAATGAATGGTAAACATTTTACTTTACTACAATCTTAATTGTCAGTGAGAAAGTGATTAATGCTTTCTAGTTCTAAAAGTAACAACTTAAAAATCACTTGATCTGATGCAACAACGGGTCTCTCCTCATCAAGAAGAAAGAAGAAAACCAAAATTAATGGAAACAATCAGTCCTAGCGACTGGTACACCATCCGATCTGCAACCT